TATCACATTCTTTTGTCATACTAATATATATTATTTTTACAAATTAAATTTGATTTCGTCAGGCAAATGGATTTATAAATTATTAATGGAAGAAGCGTGGGCTGCTACTCTAACCATGGATTTGAATATGAGTGGAATGCACGTTGCTGCTACAAATTCTACCGTGTTATATAAACTGTTGAATTAATTTAATTTCAATGTTTCACTCCATGCGATAGAATAAGTTATGTTTCTACTGTGTGATTTCCGTTTCAGATTGCGATATGGATAAGTTATGTTTAGTCTAATTGTTTGAGATTTTGTTGTGTTTCTGAATTATTCTGACAAGGATTATAAGTTTCGTTAAAGGATACATAATAGATTCATGAAGAAATTTGGAGGTAGAGCTTTCATAAAATTTTTATTGAGCTTAAGAACAGATTAAAAAACATAAATTAAGAACAAGAAGATTTCTTTTAAACTCTTTGACATCATACAAATATCTCATTAGACAATGATTGTCTCTTTTGTAATATAATTGATCGTCTCCTAAGTAGCTAAGGGAACAAAACCTGATATTTTACATGAAGAATTACCATTACATGAGTTTGAAAATCTAACGAATATTTTACGATACAAATAATTTCTTATATTCTTTCCAATTTACTCATACGATTAATGAAATAACATGACTAGACTTTGGTTTGGGAAGATGCTATTTAAATATAAAGGAACTAGATGCCGCTTTAATTTCTTTTATTTTTAAAGTTCGTATAAAAATATTTTGTAAATTGTATCTCCTTATAAAATATTTATTTATATTATAGTTTACAATTGTTATTAAGTAACGGTATACCACAAGTCCACGAGACAATTGTTAATAAACTGAGGATTTAATCCGTATTAAAGCGGCATGTTAATGATATTTATAAATATTGATTCAAATTCGTCCGCCATATAAACCCGTTCCGAAATATAACCCGTTCCGTAATTTCTTAACCCGTCCCGTGATTTGTTTTTATTTTAAAATTTAATAATTATTTATTATATATAAAATCTTACAAATCATATCATTCTCTAAGTCATTTATATTTTAATAAACTGAAGATTTAATCTGTATTAAAGCGGCATGTTAATGATATTTTAAAATTTTATAAATATTAATTCAAATTCGTCCACCATATAACTTCGTTCCGAAATATAACCCATCCTGTAACTTCTTAACCCGTCCTGTGATTTATTTTCTAAAAGTAGTTATTTTTAAAATTTAACGATTATTTATTATATATAAAAGTTTACAAATTGTATCATTTTCTAAGATATTTATATTTTATAGTTTACAATTTTTATTAAGTAACATTATACCACGGGATAATTTTTGGTTTTATACAATCTTTTCTAAATGAGATTCATTTAATATGTCTAATATTGGTGGTATTAAAAAAAAAAGGATTTAATCCGTATTGAAGCCGCAGATTAATGATATTTTAATCTTTTTATTATTGTTGATTCTAAAACTCTTCCCGCCAAACCCGTCCCGCCAAAAAACTCATTTATTTTATTAATGTTGATCTTATTTATGATATGATTATAATCGATGTAGAACGTTGAACACACATTTTCGTCAATTGGATAATATATATCTTTTTTTTTCATCCGAAATTAAATAAAATTCAAAAGAACCATTCCTGAGGAATGTTGTTTACATATGTGATATGAAGCGGTTCTGTACGAACTTTTCGTGCCAGATTATCCGCTTTGACATTAGCTCTACGAGAAATTAAAGATAAAGAAAAAGATGAAAACTCCTCCTTGTCGCTCTGAAATTCCTTCAAATACACTGAAAACGCCGGCCATTCGGTTGGAGAAGACACCATCTTCACCAGGTCTGAACAGTCTGTAAAGAACGCTACATCTTGATGATCTGCACCAACCATACACTTCATCGCCCAGAGAAGGGCCTCGACTTCGGCATGTAGTGGAGATAGACTTCTACGGAGGTTCGCAGCTCCCATGGTTGGTGGCTCTCCATTTGACGATGTACAGAACCACCCTGTACCGGAGAACTTATCACTTTCTTTCCACGATCCATCCACAAAACAATGATATCCTGAAAAGTTCGAATCAAAAGAAACCTCCCTCACTCGGGAAAATAAAAATAAAATATATTTGGAATGTTTATTTTAGAGAAAGAAATAGAGCTAACTATTATAGCAAATATCTACTCTACTTTTTTTTAGAGAAATCTACATTTAGAGCCAAAAATAAAGTCAACCATTAGACGACAAAAATGAATGGAAACTTTATATTAAAATAATATCATATATATAATTATATTTATGTTTGAAAAATAATGCTAACTATATTTTATTTTTATTTTCCTATTCATGTTATTAAAAGAGGCTATTTTTATTTTTCTATCTATACTAGTATTTTTGAAGTCACTTTTGAGTCTGGTGGGTAAAATTGTTCTCGGATATTTTGGATACCCGACCTGTTTACAAATTTTGGTCATAAAATATTTGTTGGATCAGGTTATATTTAACCCAACTCATACACCGGATATTCCATATTTAATAATTTAGATATTTAGAAGATTTGATGAAGATTTAGAATTATGATTCTCCTATCATCTTTGTTTGATTTGTTTTAAACTGTTTTGAATCATCATATAATACATAAAGTAAAAAAAAAAATCAATTTTTTTCTGTATATACTGTGATTCGAAATTTTAAAAACGGATATATCGAATCACAACTATTCATATATCTATATTTGGAGCAATATATAAAGCATCATTGAAGTGATTTTATACCAAATATAGAATTGGAACCAAGATTTGAAACACCAATGGAGATGCTCCAAGCTCGGAACAGTCTACAAATTATGAAATAAAATAAATTTATATCTGTACCAACGAATGTGTAAAATAGTGATAAATTGTCAATGATAAAATTATCTTTTAATTCTTTTTTTTTTTTGGGCAGTAAAAAAAATTTCTTTTAATTCATCTTAGGGAAAAACATATTTTTAACCCTCAAAGTGTTACTAGGTAACACTTTAAACCTCAAAAAAATTTCACTAACACTATATACTACCAAGATAATTTTACTAACACTTAAAGCCTCCAAACTAGCTTTTATGTTTTTCCTGCCAAAAAAAATGATGGAAATTTAATTTCTATTTTTTTAATATACACTAATTTAATTTAATTTAAATATAAATTAATTTTATTATTTATTACAATTAATAAAAATCTAAAAAGATAAAAAAAACTTCACCTTCTTTGTTTACTCACCTTTCGACTATGAAATTTCAAAAATAAACCTCTGAAAGTATAGACTGCAGCAAGAGAAGTTTATAGTATAATACTAGAAACCAAATAATGTAGAATATGAGGTACAAGAGAGCATAAATATAATAATAAAAAATAAAGAATGTCAAAGTTTAATCAGAAAACGAAGCATTTTCTCCGTATTAGAGGAATCTACTTTTTTTTTTTTTTTTACTTTTCTTAATAATCGTAAAATTATAATAAATAATAAAATTAATTAAAATTTTAAATTAAATAAATTTATATTAAACCAATATAAATTAATTGTTCCATCATATTTTATGGCGGTGTAAACATGAAAGCTAGTTTGGAGGTTTAAAGTGATAGTAAAATTATTTTGGCGGTTTATAGTGTTAGTGGAATTCTTTCCGAGTTTAAAGTGCTACCTAGTGACATTTTGAGGGTTAGAAATGTGATTTTTCCACTCATCTTATTAACCAATCTTATTTATTTGCACCACCATTTTGCTTCTCCTTTTCAAATTAGTTTTTTTTTTAAACCGATGCAATTAAAAGAGAGATCAAAAAGTGTAATCAATATTTTGAAACACATTGGATCAATACAGGTTTTGCTGGATTTTTCCGAATTTTATCAGATTTATAGTTAATGGATTTTAGTATTGAATATGTATCGGATTATTGACGAAATCACCGAGTTTACCGGTCCGACTATGAGTTTGGATTAGGTGTGAAAACATCAGCGCCGACAGTAAAGAAAGTTATTTTGTGATATCCGAAATGTGAAGACGATAAAAATGTATAAACTCATTTGTGCGTACATATCCTTTAGTCCTTTAATATCAATGGTTGGAACCTTTCACAACTTCATTATAAATTAGTAAATTACAGAATTTGTTTTTTAAGAAAAAAAAATATTATTCCTTTTATATCATACTTATGAACACTATTTTAAAAACTATAAAATCTGCGTTTTCTAAAAAAAACCAAAAACTGTTAACAATGGCCGGAGAAGTGATTCCTTGCCACACACTCGAAGTCTAGAACAATAAGGTCAAATCCGCCAACGAATCCAAGAAACTAGTACTTTTCTCTTCTCTTGTCTTTGAGTTTTCTTGATGATGTTCTATAAAATTCTGTTTTGTTCTAAAATTTTGACTGAAAAAAGATTGTGATAGACTGATAGACTTCACTGCGACATGATGCCCCCCTTGCCGTTTAATTGGGCCAGTGTTTGCAAGTATGGCTAAGAAGTTCACCAATGTTGTCTTCTTCAAGATCGATGTTATTTAGATGAATTGCTATATGTTGCTAAAGAATTCAAAGTTGAGGCAATGCCCACTTTTGTTTTCATGAAAGAAGGCGAAATCCTGGATCATATTATCGGTGCCGAAAGAGAGAAGATTCAGGAGAAGCTGTTGAAGCATGGTGGTTTTGTGTTAAGCACTGAATATGTATTCTCTTATTGCTTAACTATGAATGTCATACAAAGCAGAGACTAGCACATCATCTTCTCTAGCTCACTACCCTTAGATCTCATGCACGAGAAATCATACAACATTCAACATTCCAGACTCAAGCATCACAATCTTTTACTTATACTCAGGAAGACTGAACAACAAATTTCTGAATCTTCGTATCCAAATAATTTTTTTGTTTTTATCTTTGGTATGAAATAAAAGTGATGCATTGCTACTGAGATTTTGTATACTAACTATGTCAATTCTAGCTTCACATCACACAAAAGGTATAATTTAAACACCACATAAAAATAAACAAAATGATATAAAACCCACATTCAAGTTTTTCTAGTTGTCATTAATCAAAGAGTAACAGAAAGAGCATACTCAAAAATTGTTGATCGGGGAACTGTAAGCACCGCGTCACACCACTCCACCTTCCCCCAAATCTCTCCATCGTTGTGTCTTTCAAGGGCAATCACCGCACACCAAATCATCTGGTCTTCACTGTCAAGCTCATACTTGTCCCACAAAACCGCCATTTTTCCACCATAATCGGCCAGTTTAACACGACTTGAACTAGCAAACTCAGGCAGTCCTCCCAAAACCTTGATTTGTTTCCACAATCTCACCTTATTGTCATACCATTTTAATGCTCCCTCATTATAACAGTACAAAACATTCTCTACTGCACAATTACAATACCATCGCCAACCATCACCCATCTCTTGTTCCACCAAGTCCCATCTACCTTCCTTTGGATCGTAAGCCAGAACCTTTCTCCCAATTGTCAGATACACCTTTCCTTCAACACATGTACTTTTGGTTAGCCAACCCGAGTATTCATCACCGTCCTGGTAAGGGATGGGGACATGATCCCAAATTTGGGTTTTGGTGTCGAACACCTCCATCGATTTCGAAAACTCTGATACGTTCTCTACAAAACCTTCTACTACATAAATCTTTCCATCAAAGACACTAGCACAAGGGTACTTCATCTTCACCTGCAAGCTTGGAGCCTCACGCCACGTGTGAGACCGACAGTCTAGTAATGAGACGCTAGATGAGGCCAAAGTCTTGATGGATCGGCCAATGTTGTAGATATTGTAACCAACGACCTTACCTGACAAGTAGGCAGGATGAGATTGTGGAGATGTGATTGGGACCAAAAGATTGCCACTTGACTTAGTTAGGGTTCGGTCAGGTTTCCGGCAGAGAGTGAACCAACGAGGGTTATCGTCAAAGCGTAAACACACATATAGGCAACTCTCGGTGCGGCGTAAGAGAGATCGGGCCTCGTAAAGCTCTGGTGAAGCAAGGAGAGATCGAAAGCTCTTGGAGACTAGGGAAAGAGTTGGGTAGTACAGTTTTGAGACGCGTGATAAGCAAGTAATTAATAAATCATCTGGAAGTGAAGGATTTGGAGTTGATTCCGGTAACGACATTTTCGAGAAGGAATCGCTTTCTCGAAACGAAACATCCCTTGTTTTTAAGCGGTGGTTTCTTCTTCAACACGATTTATCTACCGACATCGACAATTGTATCAGCCCTACAAACTCAAATCTGAGAAGTTTTAACACATTTCGATTTGTGACACCTAATGGGCCTACGATTTGTTAAAATGGGCCTCTTAAGTCCAAAGAATAAAAAACTCCAATATGCAAAGTAAACCGAATGGTTAAATTGACAAATCATTTGGTTCTATTCGGTGTTGATTTTACACTTAAACCAACCGAATTTGGGATTAACTTACACTTTTGTGCTAAGAAACAAAAAAAAAACAACATAAATTTAAGGAACAACAAGGGGTCTGACTGGTACTCTTTCATAGAAGAAAAATAATGAGAAGAAAAATAATTCTTCTGTGTTGTACTTAAATGTAACCAGTCAGATGAAAATCAGTTGATTTTGTTTTCTTCCCAATTCTTCAAAAAGCAACGTGAAAAGGTAGAATTCATACCACTTCAAATATATGAGAGAAAAAATTCTTCTGTTTTTCTGCTTTTATTTTCTTCTCTTTTCTTCTTTTATTTTTCATCTCATTTCTTCCACTTTTTACCAGTAACACCCAAGATTTCTTAAAACTTTTTTCAAATCCTCATAACTTAAGACGTCAAAAAAATCAATACTATATCTCATCGCTAGACTTACGAAGTTACGATTGTCTCTTTTAGACTTTTACAGTATAAATTTATTTATTTTCTATCAATTGTCTCCTAACGGAAAAAAAAAAACCCAAAATTTTACATGAACAGTTTTACCATTTACATAAAGTCTGAAGATTTAACAAATCTTTTTGATACACATAATATTTTAGGTTTATGATTTAAAAGGTATTTTAACAATTTTAAATATTATGTAGAATCTGTTGTTAATTAATCAAGATTTTATTAAATTATATTAAGGTTTGGTGTTATTAGTTTTTGATTTGTAAAAAATCTTCTAAAATCTTCATAAATTTGGGGTTATTGGATTCAGAATTTTATAAAGTCAAAAAAGTTTTGTGTTATTTAAATAAATAAAAAATTTTGACAAAAAATAACTAAAACAAAAGAATCTCTAATTGTTAATGAATTAAATTATTATGTTATTTGTTTATGATCTTATACACTTTTCTTCACAAAATAAAATCATAAAAAGTATCATCAAAATATAAAGATTGTTTGGAAAACTTTTCAAAATTATATTAAAAAAAAAACTAATCAAGAAAACTCTCTATCAATGGTTTAGATTTTTTCAGTTATTTATCTTTTATGATTTTACTGAAGTCACTAAAACATTATTTTTCCGATTTAACATGACAGAATTTGATATGGAAAAATGTAAAAGAATAGAAAAATAAAATAGAAAATACAATTAGCATTGTTTTTCAAACATAATTTTAGTTTTTTTTTTAATTAACAGCACATAAAGATAGTTTTATAGATACTATTTTTATATATAAAGTTTCCATTCAATTTTGCCGTCTACAAATTATAACATAAAAAAAAAACATATTCGTACCGACAAAACAAACTTTACTTTTTTATATCTGCAAGGACGAGAAAAAAAATGGATAAACTCATATTTTGTGCACACATAACACGCGTGTCTTCTTTATCTAGAACTTTCGTTACCAATTCATCATCGCGTCATTACGCCGTTGACCTAGACTTATGAATTTACTTTACCTTTAGCCTTTTAATATCAACCGTTGGATCCATTCACACTCCTACGCGTCAAGATGATAAACATTTTTTGGAAAAAAAAACTATTAATCCTTTTAGATAAACAAAAAAAAAAGACCGATAAGAGGTAAAGACGGTCAAGTCGTGCCCTGTTTTTTTTCCTATAAAAGCTGATCCCAACCATAATAATTCTTCATTCATTCAACCAAGCAAAAATCTTAAAAGCTTAGAAGAAAAAAAAACAATGGCCGGAGAAGGAGAAGTGATCGCTTGCCACACCGTCGAAGTTTGGAACGAGAAGGTTAAAGAAGCCAACGAATCCAAGAAACTGGTACTTTTTTCTTCTTCTCTTGTTTAGGGTTTTTTTCAGTTTGATTTGATTACGTTATTTAGGGTTTACGGTTTTCTTTATTTGTTAGCTTAAACGTGGATGTGTTCAATAAAGCTTGCTTTTGATCCTGTTCTTGTCTTAAATCTTTGTTTGGTCTGAATTTGATAGAAACTTGTATTTTTTCTCTTGTCCTCTGTCTAGGGTTTTTAGGGATTAGGTTTTCTTGATTACGTTATTTTGGGATTAGGTTTTCATGATTAGTTAGCTTAATGGTGAATGATGTTAAAAAAAAGCTTGGTTTTGATCCTGTTCTTGTCTTAAATCATTGTTTGGTCTGAAATTGATAGGAACTGGTGCTTTCTCTTGTCCTGTTTAGGGCTTTGTTTAATTTGATTTGATTGCTTTACTTAGGGTTTAGTGTTTTCTTGATTAGTTTCTCTTGTGATAGAAACTAGTACTTTCTCTTGACTTGTCTAGTGATTTTTCAATTTGATTTGATTACTTTACTTAGGGATTAGGGTATGTCTTGATTATTTAGCTTGGTGGTGAATGATGTTTGTGTACTGATTTGTTCTGAAATTTTTGATTGAAACAGATTGTGATAGACTTCACAGCATCATGGTGTCCACCTTGCCGTTTCATTGCCCCCGTATTTGCAGACATGGCTAAGAAGTTCACTAATGTTTTCTTCTTCAAGATCGATGTTGATGAATTGCAAGATGTTGCTAAGGAATTCAAAGTTGAGGCAATGCCTACTTTTGTTTTCATGAAAGAAGGCAACATCGTTGATCGTGTTGTCGGTGCTGCGAAAGATGAGATCCATGAGAAGCTGATGAAGCATGGTGGTCTTGTAGCTTCTGCTTGATTGATTTCAGTTTCTAAATTTTAGTACCCTAATAAAGTTTTTATCTTTGCTTTGAATAAAAGTGATGCTTTGCTACTGCACATTTGTATTATAACTATGTCGATTTTCGATTATCGGTTTTTGATTACAAATAAGGATTAATTTTGCACAAGTAATACTTTTGTGTAATGCACACACAATATTGTCACCATCTTTGTGTCGGTTTGCAACAATTACCGCAGCTTCCCTACAGTTTGCCCATCGGAGAGTAGTTCTCTGATTTCTTCTATAAATGTGTGTGAAGATGTTATGTAATGTATTGAAAATTAGTTTCAACATCTCATCTTTCTCCATATACTTCACATCCTTACGTTTCTTGAAGTTTATAAATCGTTTCTCTGTTTTTATCATTGAACAAGAATTGAAACAGAGCAAACAAGAAGATGAAGCTGACCCGTTAACATTTGATATTTGTATTATTATGTGAATTGACTAATTGATCTTATGAGAGTTCTTTAATTTTTGAAAATCATTTTGGTATCGTCAAGATATTTCGTTGAACATATAAAACACAAACATAATTTGGCCCAACAGAAATGTCTTGTTGGATTTTGTCGTGGCCATTCGTAGAAGTTGCTTATGTGTCTTATTCTAGCTAAGTACTTAGCTAGAGTAGTTAGAGTTGTTGGGATTGTTAGTGGCTAAAGTAAGGTTGTGTAAGGTTGCTTGGATCCCTAAGTATAAAGTCTAGAAGTAAGGTCAAATAGTGACTAAGTTTAGAGTCTAAGACCACCTCCAACGGTGGCTCTTAAAGAGAGTTCTTAGACTAAAAGCAATTAAAATTAAATCAAAACATCAAATAAAACTAAGAAACATGTCCTAGTTAAGAGTTTTAAGAGAGTGGGTATGGTGAGTAGAGGAAATGTACTATATGTATGTGTAATGTGTGTAAACTCATGATGTATGAAACTATGCTGTTTAAGAGAGAAAAGTCGCTTTCATGGCTGCTCAAAAGAGAGGACCAAACAAACCTTGAGATCTAGTTTGAAACTGCAACACCCCTTTTGCTTATGTAGGTTAAACAAGTCTTAAACTGGTTGTCATAATTGTGTTTGTCAAACTTATTTTTATTAGAAAAATCTACTTTGAACCGGTCGCTGACAGACCCGGCCCAGAGGGCAAGCAACTGAAACCATCGATTCGAGCCTCAAAAATTTGAAGGCCTTTTTAATTAAAAATTTCTGAAGTATTTTTATATATATAAAAAATTTTGTGGGGCCTTTTAAATACAAACTAACTATTATTTCTAATAATAAAATTCTGATTTTTAAAAAAAATTGTAGGATTTTGAACAGTTTTCAGAATTTAGAAACGTTATAAAGATTTAATGTGATTACTATTATTTATAGTTTTTATAATATATAAAAAGACATGTTTTTTAAGCATTGCCTAGGGTACCAAAATATACGGGTCGACACTGGTCGCTAATAAGCTCATTACATTCAAAGTACAACTCTAGTGCAAAAATCTACTTTCAGCATTACTCTATAGCTTTAACTACTTGAAGATATCAATGTACCTTAATGGCTTAATCTATCTGTGTTGAAAAGCAAAAGCCAAAATTAATAATATACATCATGCAATCAATGTATAGATATCAATAAGTGACTTGAAAACAAACTAAAACAAATATATACTTGTTCGGTGGAAATGACTAACTCAATTGGTTTATCATCAAAATTTCTAAAATGAGACAATTTCCCAAAGAATAATTCCACGAAACTTTATTCTTCTTGCCTTTGTACTTTGTTTTATAAAAAGGCTCAAAATATTCAACATACTTGACTTGAAAGAATAAGAAAATCAACCAAGTTTAAACATTATCATATGCAGTTTCTTTTATGTTCCAAGACATTGAAGATAAAAAAAAAACTTACCATTTCAGTGGGTGGATCAAGCCCACATGTTATGTAGTATGTACCTTAGCCAAATCCCATTCCAATCACTAATGGCAGTGACGGATAAATCAATCCCTTCGGTTGAGATATTTTCAGAGGTTAGATACTCTTTGAATCTCTTGTCGAATCAATATCGCTTCATAGTATGTATGATGCCATGGTTAGACGAATTTCAATTTTTGGCTTAAAATGGTATTGTTTAGTGGTAATTCCGTTTACTTATACCTTCGTGTGTAAGATTAATAGATAAGCGTATTGATTCGACAAGGGAAAACCAGAGGAGATTCAAAGAGTATCTGACCTCTGAAAAATATCTTAACCGAAGGGATTGATTTGTTTGTAACTAATCTCTCTATTTAAAGTTTGTAATCGCATTTTGTATTGATCAAGAAAACTACAACATATTTCAATTTTTGACTGAACTATCTCCATCCAAATGATCCAATTTGGTTTATCGAGATGAGTTTAAAAATTTTGCCTAAATTTTGAAAACTCATTTAAATGATCCATTTAGATATTGCTCATTTCTGCACAAAAATGAACATCAATTTGCAGTTTCATCCAAAAGAACCATAAGAATGAGCAAAGGAACATGGTCGTGAGTCCTCAAAGCGCATTTGAATATTCGATGAAAAATATGAAGTTTTCATATGAGTTTCAGAAATACATCTAGACTAGATACATCATCTAGCTGATCCGCTAAATTCGTGCTAAACGAACATCAAATTACTGATTAATGCATTATTTGGATACACAAAAGAACATGATGACCCAAAAGAGTCAAATTGGATTTTCCAAACCATTTGGCCTACTTTACTCCTAATTAATTTCAAACATATGACCCAAAAGAGTTTAAACATTATTTTTTTTTGGCTTCTGACAAATTGTACAAGCACAAACTTTAGTTTAAAATATGATTATATAGTCTATAAATCTATTACACAAATACACATAATACATTTTTGGCAAGAAAAATAAAATTTAAGGGTTTGGTGGGTTTAGTTAGTTATGTTGTTAATATATAAAACCCCACAAGCTGCTTCATTTCCTCTCTCTGCATTTCTCTTTCTTCGTAGATCTTTTTTTCTAGCTTACCTTTAAGTTTGTATGAAAAAAAAAAAAAGATGGCAGATGAGAAGGTAACCCCAAGAATGCGATAGCCCAAGTAACCCCAGTAGCTCCACTAGCTCCAGTAACTCCAGTGAAGACTGTGAATCCAATTGATGTATGGACTACAGTGAAGCCATTTGTCAATGGCGCTGGCTCATCTATGCTTGCAGCAGTTTTGATAGAACTGATCGATATGATAAAGGTATTTAGAAATGCTAAGAACTAGAACTGTATTATTAGGAGTAAGGCGCATTTGCGACAACTACAATGTAGCTTAATCTTTCAGTGTAACTGTAGCAGAGGATTTTGAGAGTAAAGCAAAGTTTTCATAAGACTATATAATCAAGAAATCAATGAAGTAAAACATTGAGATCAATCAAAGTGAGTTTCATATTTTCAAACGGTTACTAAAAACCAGATATTAGATAACGACGGTACATAACCGGTTTAATAGTGATGCCAAAAGATCAGAAAAGTTTTCTTAATGATTTCTTGTGTGCTGCTTGTTCACGAAGCAATCCGATTATATGGCTTTCATTGATCTCATGAATTTGGATAATGTCAATTTTCTAGTACAGAGATATTGTGGACTAATCACCCACCATATAAAAGGGCTTAAAAGTCATTCAAGTGGAACGATACAATTAAGGTTTTACCCAATGCATGGCGAAAAAGCTATGTAGCAAAATATTACTTTTCCATACGTAGAACAAAAATTCATCATTACATTATATAAGAAAAAAAAGTTATGTGGATTTTACCCTACTTGAAGGTTTAACTAAGGCAATTTTATATGTACTAAAATAAAGATGAACAAATTAGAGAAGAACAATACAATATTCATTTCAACTCATTCCACTAATTTGTTCATCTTATTTTTAACTGAAAATGATCCATGAAATTGGTAATGCCTCTTTAAAAGGAAAACTAGATCCTCACCCGTACGTACGTGCGGAATTTCATATTTTAAAAGAATTTCTAACGAATTTTAATTCAATATAGACTATTTTGTTGTTTTTATGATAAATATTTTAGTGTATTAGATCTGGATCCACACGTACGTGAAGAGATATTTTTATAGAAGTTGTTAAATAGATTTTAAAAATATAAATATTTTGTTGTGTTAGTGAACTTCGTAATAGTATAGATATTATAAAGTTGGAGTAATGAACGAAATTCAGTTGCGTTAGTGCATAATTATAGTTTAAAATCCGGACTAATTTAGTTGCAAAAGTTAAGTGATGTTAATTTTTTATTTTCTAAACTAATCAAAACATTTATAAGTACAGATGTTAAATAGGATTTGGATTCAGTTTTACTTTAGGTTATTTCATGTATATTAGCTAAGCGTAACTATTTTGGAATGAAAAACATATCCCATCTTGTATCTATCATAAATTCTTCGTCTCATAACCTGTCACATATGTGAAATAAAAATATTACGGTCTCGTATCCGTCATAAATAGAATATGTGTACTTGAAAATGTACGTACATGGTTATGTGTGTAAACAAATTTATTTTATATAGTGCTCATAACCCGAACTCATACCCATTGGGTATTTAGTTTGATTTTTACTTTATGTTCCCCTCCCATCTCGTCTCCTAATTCCTATTTCCATTTCATTCCATTAAAATCATGTTCCAAATTCTTGGTTGCTTACCTTTAAATACCATACAATATATATGGTGAGTTTTACGGATTAATATGTATGCTGTTAAATTTACAAATATATTTTAACAAATTTATTGATGTTTCTTTTCTTAGCTAAATTATGCATATTTTTCTTTTCATTGTTTAATCATAATAAATTCGATTTAATGGACTAAAAATAAAATTTTGAGATACATCTATAAAAGGGATATGCTATTGATGCATAATTTGTTTTGAATGCAAAATATATAATTAGTTCACATTATTTCGAAAACTGCGTGCAATATATTATGGATTTATTTAAAGAATTTCCGGATGAACGAAGGTCATAATGATAATTACTTTAAATTTATTATTATTTGAGTTTATTTCATAGTAAATATAAATATTTGTTAATATCTGATATTGTTTTTAAATTTGTGAAATAAAATTTTGTTTTATATTTAAAAATTTGTGAAATTATTATAACAAAACTGAAGCTTAAATATTTGTATTTAATTTCTTACGAAATTTTAAATTCAATCTTTAAATCCTCCATTGATAAAACTTTTTAAACGATAGTGTTTTTAATTTTGAATTAAAATGATATTATTTTTCTTTTTTATTTTTGATATAGAATAGTCTATTATGATTGGTTTAGATAGAATCTTAGTTGGATATCAAATCTTATTTTTTCAATTCTTATTGCTTAACAATTTTTTAGAAATTAAATTCAAATTTTTGTTCATAATTAATAAGAGAGAGAAAATGAGTTTGATTTTTTGGAAACTAATAATTACTTAAAAGAATTTTAATATTTTTTATTTTTATTTAAATATATAATTTTGTGATTACTATTTTACCTTTAATAAATTTATTTAAAAACCTTTAAAACCAATGGCATCTTATGTAATATTTTACTCTTTATAAGGTTATTTAATATCTAGTGATTCCCAATTTATAGTGTAGATACAGAAAATGAGTCTTTAATTATTATCATAAAAGAAAAAAAATCCAACAAAATCTTACCCAATTAATATTATCACATCACATTATCAATACAAACTCACCAAAATTCACATCAAATTAAATTCAATATGAATTCCGTTTTTCACCACAAAAGCCCTAAAACCTTATGGAATTTTAATGAGAAATTGTTTATCCAAATTGACAAACCAGACTTAATCCAATTGAAAAAAGTCTCAGAACCGCTGAATTTGATTTGATTGCTTTAATTAGTGTCTAGGGTTTTCTTGATTAGTTTGCTTAGTGGTTAATGATGTTTGAATTCTGATTTGTGATAGAAACTAGTACTTTCTCTTGGCTTGTCTAGTGAATTTTCAATTTGATATGATTACTTTACTTAGGGATTAGGGTATGTGTCTTGATTATTTAGCTTGGTGGTGAATGATGTTTGTGTTCTGATTTGTTCAAATTTTTTTGATTGAAACAAATTGTGATAGACTTCACAGCATCATGGTGTCTACCTTGTCGTTTCATTGCGCCAATATTTGCAGACATGGCTAAGAAGTTCACTAATGTTGTCTTCTTCAAGACTGATGTTGATGAATAGCAAGCTGTTGTTAAGGAGTTCAAAGTTGGGGCAATGCCTACTTTGGTTTTCATGAAAGAAGGTGGAATTATTGATCGTGTTGTCGGTGCGGTGAAAGATGAGATCCTTGAGAAGCTATAAAGCATGGTGGTCTTGTTGCTTCTGCTTGATTGATTTCAGTTTCTAAATCTTAGTATCCTAATAAAGATTTTATCGTTGGTACGAAATGAAAAGTGATGCATTGCTACTGCACAGTTGTATTATAACTATGTCGATTTTTGATTACCGGTTTCTGATTACAAAGAGGGATTAATTTAAACAAAGCATGAGTAATACTTTTGTGTAATGCAAATACAATTTTAAATGTTTTAGAGACTTTGGATACATCTTCACCAAATTCGATCTTCAAAGAGTACTAAGAAGTTACCTATTGGCTTCAACCACGAAAACAGAACATGATACCGATACAAAGACTTGTTTTAAACACTATAATAGAGCGTAGCTTGAAAATGTTTAGTTATGAACAGAGCTTTATTGTTTCAAAGGTTAGTTCTCTGGATTTTACTATAAAATGTGTTTGAAGATGTTATGTAATGTATTGGCAAATCAGTTCAACATCGTATTTTTCTCCATCTACTTAACGTCTATATCTCTTTAAGTTTCTTGAAGTTTATAAAACGTTTCTCAGTTTTTATCCTTGAACAAGGACTGAAACAAAGAAAAGTAGAAAACATAAGAAGAAGAAGCTAACATGCAGATTCCACCACGGCAATATCTCCCATACTCTTAAGTTCAGAAGCCAGCGGCTTGTTACCTCTAGGCGCGTAAAAGTAGGATGTGGATGTCAATAGCAATGGTAGGACTAGGATAGTGAGGATTTAATTACCTTGTACCATGTACAAGGTTATCTGTTTTGCTTAGCCAATGAACCTTCTTCAATCCAATCAACAGAGGAATCTTTTGTAGGAGAAACCAAGTTCGTTGCTTCCCCTCGTAGACCATCCTGTATAATTATCTGAAAAGGCAGAGATGTTATTTAGTTTCATGCTTTTAGTTGAAAACTGGGTCAATCCATCAGAGTGTCTTCTTCTCTTATGAAATTTTGTATCTCACATGATATGTCCATTTATAATCATCAAATAATATGATGTTCCATCGACAGGGAGAGACTTAAGGGAGATGGAGTACACATTCTTTTAAAAATGGGATAAAATCTCATCATTAAACTTCATTCGTTTTTGTCCCTTCTTTGTCTCTCACTTTCATCTCCATTTACTTTTTCTTCGACTTCACTGCCTCCATTGACCAACACATCTGATGTTCTCTTCGTGTCCTTGAACGTGAAGGGACTTAGATTTCGAGTTACCCGCATTCTCTTTTTGGTATTAACGTTATGCACCCCGCATTCTTTTATCACCCATCTAACACTGCTGATGCTGAATTCAAAGAAAAGATCGTTGGAAGTCACATCGGCTTCAAATTCAAAGATGTACAGATGCTCCGTTAAAGGGGGAGGTAGAATATGGTTACTTGGACTGCACGGAACATCAACGCTACTCTTTTTGTCCACAATGCAACAATCTAGAAACACAATGTCCTCATCACCAGTTTCAACGTCATTATTATTAACCAACAAGATGCAAGCTTTAAATATCAAGGATGAAGGGAAAGGCCTCTCATTTAACTTCACTCTCAAAGAATCTCCATTAGCTCGATAAGTGAAGTAGGTTGGCATTTCTCTACCGGGTAAGACCGAAACTTCGCAAGTCGATGTCTGGATGATTACATTTCTCGCTTCTTTATTCAGTTGAAGCAGTTAGCGAATTTGAGAATAATACGTGGATCAAGAAAGGAGCAATCTAGTCTTTCAAGAGATTCACAATTTTCTGCGTCTAGTTCTGATAAGGAATCCGGAAGCTGTGGGAGTGATAAGAGCTTGTTGCATCCCTTAAGTACAAGTCGGCGAAGACGAGAGATTCTCTTGACCCATGGAGCAACTTCTTGTATTTTTGTATCGCTCAAGTGAAGGTCTGTGATTATGTCAAGAGCATGCGGGAAATTCTTGAGGTTTTCACTGTATGACATATGTAATGTCTCAAGACGCGACCACAAGCTGATTGATAAAGGCACTTCTTCTATTGCAGTTCCACTGAGATCGAGATAGCTGATGTTTGTAGAAATCTCAGGAAAACTTTTGAGCAACGAGCAATCAGTAAGAATAAGCGCCTCAAGAGATTGCAAGTTGATGTTGATGGGAAGAACCTCCAACTTTGAGCATCTATTCAAAGTCAAGGAGGACAATTTATGAAGGTTTCCAATTGAGGCGGGGAGTTCCACAAGACTTGAGTATCCGCTAAATTCCAAATACTTGAGATTAATGGCTTTTCCAATAGAGGAAGGGATTGCCACCAAACTTGAGCATCCACTAAAATCCAACCTATCTAGAGTAACTATGGCATTCCCAATAGAGGAAGGTAGTTGCACCAGATTTGAGCATCCTCTAAGATCCAATAACTCGAGATTAGTAGCATTTCCAATATAGGAAGGGAGTTCCACCAAACTTGAACAAAAACTAAAATCCAGTTCCTTGAGATCAGTGGCATTCCCAATGGAAGAGGAAAGCTTGACCAGATTTGAGCATCCACTTATCTTAAATTTCTTGAGATGAGAGAAAGTCCCAATAGAGAAAGGGAGTTTCACCAAGCTGGAGCAATTATAGAGATACAATTCCTTGAGATTAGTGGCATTCCCTGATATTATATAGATGTTGAGGCAATTGAAAAGAACTTCTTTTCCTTTATTAAGAATCACTTAAACAATCTATAAGATATGTTTAATCAGATTTACACGACGTTGACACAACTCGTCACTGACCAATTCTTAATCTATCCAAACTCACAACACAACAACAGCTATGCATACACTCTGTTCACTCACCAAGATCCCTAACAGCTTCTAGCCTAGTACTTGAGATTCACAGAGATATTCTAAACGCCCACCTAAACCTAAAGTCTAGACTGCGAATATATAGGTTAACGACACAAGTGTCATTAACAACTTTCCTAATCTTGAGATCACACCAAATCTTCTTTTCTTGATTTGATCGTATCTTCAATACACCGAATAACTTGAGATTCATGTTCTGGAAACTTCCAATCACCAATCACTGCTTACCACGTCATCTTCATTTAATGTCTCGCAGTTTCCCGCATACAGCTCTCTCTTGTGCTCCATAGGATCTTCCTGTAGCCCGACATCCATATGTCTTCAATCTCCCCCTTTTTACCTGAATGTGACACCTTAAGCTCCAGAGCTACCTGTCAGGGTTAGTTTGCCAAGATACACACCAAGAAGCACCAATGTATATTTCAAACTCAAAAGAATTCTGAAATAACATTCATTAGCAAAACAGAAACTGAAAAGGAACATATTCAAGTTTCAACACCCAACAGAAGCAAATACAGAACAGTAGTGCAAAACATATCAGCCACTAGAACATATTCAAAGACACACTACACACTTGCTCCCCCTTATTACTAGGCCTAATCTAAACTAATCAGCCACTAGTCTCCTCATCACTAGGATCCCCAGCAGGATCTCCATCAAAATTACCATATTCTCCCCCTGCTTGAGTGCACATTCATGTAAAAACCAAAAGCCATCAAGTTATGCAGGAAAATCAGATGAAGGAGAAAAAACACTTACCGTCCAAGCGACGTTTCATCCAGGTAGCTACAGCCAGGAGATCTACAAGATCATCATGAAGCAAGGTCCTTGATGTCTGAAATGAAGGTGCAGCATTCTGAGCTTCAACAGTCTAGACCCTGAATACTCCAGGAGAACGAGATAATGTATCAGTTTGCAGAGTCAGAACAGCTCTCTGGGAGGACAGCACCATACCTATCACCAGAAGACAATCAGGCCGCAGAGTAGTTCGATTTGTGCCAGGAATCCAGTATACAAATGTAAGACCGTCAACACAAATTTCCAACTCAGCAAGATTGGCATAAAACTCCTTCACAACCAAACAGACCTGTAATTGCATCAAAAACTCGAAATTCCAATAAGATACATAAACCGGTTTTCACCGGTGAGATAACCAATTCACCCTTGCTTTGAAATTTGTTTTAACATGCACTATGTACTGTACAGACTGACACTGCTGAGCACAGGAATATCACAGGCAACCACTAAACAACCAGATGCAGGAAGTGACCATGTCAGAGATCCAGAATTGTTTTCCACGAAACATCATATTAAAATTCAATTCATTTTGAGTCACTCAGTAAATGCATCACGTCATACCTGTGAACACAAAGTTCCTGAAGTAACATGATATGCACAGGAGCAAGCACATCGAACTGTAAAACCATGTTTCAACCCACCAGCTCAGTGAGGTAGCTATTTCTCTGATGAGGAGCTTTCATACACACTGCTTCACTCAGACTAGTCTACACATCTGCATACTAAACCAGAAAACATTCTCAAGACAACTTTCTCCCCTTTTAACTTTCTCCTTTTTTTTTCCATTCAAAAAATGTAGGCGAATAGTGGTATCACAGGAAATTTTCCTAACCTCGCTTCCATCTTTGTGTGATCATCCCTTCGAAGTAAAATAATGAGGTCATAGGAAATTTTCCTACCTCTTTACTCAAAAGAGAATCATTTCATCTTTTCATTTCTTTGTTTTCTTTTTCTTTTCTCTTGTTTTCAATGACCAAGATTAATATGCAAAGCAGACAAGAAAGTCATCTCTGTTGAACATCGTCGAAGCCAAGTATGTAGAGCAATTTTTTTTCTGAGGGAAGTTGCCAATAGGAGGTTTTTCTTGCTGTAGTCAGTACCACAATAACCAAGGGATTAAAAAAAAAAAACTGTTGTACTCCTGTGCAGTGAACCTGTTCTAACAATCCCTTAGTGACACAAAACAGGTCAGTTTTCACAAATACCAAGTGACTTTTGCAAATATGTGAAAGTGCTCAAGTCGAGTGGTTTAGTAGAAATATCAGCCAATTGTTTCTCAGTATCAATATACTGGATCTCAACAAGTTTCCCTTCAATTAGCTCTCTGATGAAATGGTGCCTAATATTAATGTGCTTAGTGCGAGTGTGATGAACAGGGTTCTTTGTAATATCAATAGCACCTATATTATCACAGTGTATCAACAGAATTTCAAAAGTCATACCATAATCTGCAAGCATTTGTTTCATCCACAGTAGGTGAGTACAGCAGCTACCCATAGCAATGTACTCAGCCTGAGCGGACGACATGGAGACACAGTTCTGCTTCTTGCTATGCCAAGCGATCAGGTTGTTTCCCAGAAAGAAACATCCTCCAGATGTGCTTCGTCTGCCATCAAGACATCCTGACCAGTCTGCATCACAGAAACCTGCAAGATTATGATTAGTATGCTTGGTATAGGACAACCCATATTTAACTGTACCTTTGACGTATTTGATAATACGTTTAACTGCATTTAGATGGGATACACGTAGACAGGCTTGGTAACGGGCACACAGACCAAAACTATAACACATGTCTGGTCTGCTAGCTATCAGATACAGCAGACTTCCGATCATAGCTCTGTAGAGTTTCTGATCAACATCCTGACCATCTTCATCAATCTTGTTCTTGAATATCCACATTGTGCCCACAACATTTATCTGTGTAGGTCGAGGTACCAGATCCCACACTTCATTTCTGGAAAACTGATTTAGTTCCTCTGTACATGTACCATACCAGAATTCATCTTCAAGAGCTGCAGCAATATTCTTGGGTTCAACTAAACACACAAAACACGAGTGCTGCAGCATTTCTTTGAAGTTAAGCTGAACACCTCTGCTCGTTCTTTCATTCAGATCTCCTATCACATCAGCAGCTGAATGATACTTATGAACAACTAGTTTCTTTGTCGTAGAAGGTACAACAGGTGACTGTGCCTCAGATGATACTTCTCTGTCAGTGACTTTTTCTTCAAGAGCTGTTTCAGGTGCGTCTGCTGCAGGTGCTTCTGCAAACTCGTCTGTTGTAGGTGGTTCTGCAGACTTGTTTGATGTAGGTGCTTCTGCAGACTCGTCTGCTGCAGATGCTTCTGGAGACTCGTATGCTGCAGATTCTTCTATGTACTCGTCTAGCACAGGAGGTAACAAAAATCTATTTTTATCATCAAAGACCACATTGACAGCATCACCAATTACCTTGGTTCTCTTGCTATACACTCTGTATGCTGAGCTGTTTGTAGAGTATCCCAAGAAAATTCCCTCATCACTTCTAGAGTCGAATTTTCCGAGGTGCTCATTTTCATTAAGAATATAACACACACATCCAAATACACGAAAATGGCTCAGATTCGGATTTTTTCCCTTCCATATCTCGTATGAAGTGGTCTTTGTGCCAGGTTTCACATAAACCCTGTTGACAATGTAGCATGCTGTGCTAACTGCTTCTGACTAGAAACCTTGAGAGATGTTATTACCATGTATCATAGCACGAGCCATTTTCTGCAGTATTCTGTTTTTCTGTTCAACAATTCCATTCTGCTGAGGTGTTCTGGGTGCTGAATACTGATGTCTGATTCCTTGCGTTTGACAGAACTGTTCAAAGATCTCATTCTGGAATTCTCTTCCATGATCACTTCTTATCTGAATGATCCTTCCCTTTTCATTCTGAAGTTGTAGGGCAAGAATCTTAAAGCTTTCCACTGCTTCAGACTTCTCTCTTAGGAACTAAACCCATGTGTACCTTGAAAAATCATCTACCAACACAAAGATGTACTTCTTCCCATTGATACTTTCCATTTGTACTGGACCCATAATATCTATATGAATCAGCTCAAGTACCTTTTTAGTTTCAATTTCAGGTACCTTCTTATAATTGACCTTGATCTGCTTTCCTTTGTTACATACACTGCATACAGACTCCAGTTTGTCAGCCAGTTTTGGTACACCTCGAACCACTCCAGCGTTCACAATCTTAATCAGGGTCTGAACGTTCATGTGTCCAAGTCTCTTGTGCCACAGCTCCAGATCATTAACAGACACAGACAAACAGATATCTGATGCCTTTCACATGTAGCAGTTATTGCCTGAGCGCACCCCACACAGTACAGTGTTTCCATTTTCATCAACAGCTTGACAATCAGTCCTTGTGAAGATTACTTTCAGACCATCATCGCATAGCTGACTTACGCTAATCAAATTTTCTTTCAAGCCTTCAACGTAGTACACATGTATCAGTGATGATTGATCATCACATTCGATGTTTCCTTTGCCTCTTATACGTCCTTTACCACCATCACCAAATGTAACTTTTCCACTGGCCTCTTCTGTGAAGGTTGACAGAACACTTGAATCACCTGTCATGTGTCTTGAGCAGCCACTGTCAAAGTACCAAGGGTTATTTGTAGTTCCATCTGTAGATGTGTAAGCTACCTTTGCAGTGAACTCCTCATCTTTATCAGACTCATCCAGTTGTACAATCGTCACGTTACAGGTCAGACTGATTTCTTCAGATTCAGAGACTGCTTTGTTGTACTGTTTCTCATCATGCTTTGAATCTTTGTTGTACAGGTCTATCTTGCGAACCCAGACTTTACCAAACTTGGATGGTTCAATAAAGCATTTCCGTGCTTGCCACAGTTGCTTGATCTTGTCTTGAAACTTATAACAAGACCTTCTTATATCACATGGTTTTCCACAATAGAAACATTCAAACACTTTTCGACCTCTGTTTGACCTGGTCCAGTTCTTTCTGGGTACAATCTTTCTTGGTGCAGTCTTCTTGTATTGTACAGTCGTATTCTGTGGAGCATTCTGATTCACCTTCCTAGGCTGTTGTTTCTCTTCCACTTGAGCTTCTTCATCATGATAGGTTGTACTCCTCACGAACTGAACTGTCTTTGGCATATCCAGAGATGCTTTGGGAGCATATGAATGATAGCCCAATCCTCTATGACTTGAACCAACTATTCCCATGACAGAATCTGATCCAGATTTTTACCACCATTATTCAGCATTCTGATCTTCTTGTGGTTCTCACTCAGTTCTCTTTCCATCATTAAAGCTTTTTCTTTCTCCTTTTCATAGCTCTCAAGTAAGCATTTCATTTTCTTCTCAAGAAACTCCTTTTCTGACACAGGTAGCTTCTCGCCAATTTTTTCTTCCTCTACTTCTTCTTTCAGCATGTTCACTTGTGCCACCAGCATCAAGTTTTCCTTAGTGAGCTGCAGCTTGTCATTGCTCAGAGAGATCCAGCTGTCATACAGAGTCTTGTAGTCGTCACTGGTGATCTGATTTCCATCATCATTATCTGAATCAGAATCCTCACTGGAGTTATTCTGATCTTTTGCACTGAATGCCACAAAATTCAGCATAGGTTCAGCTTCACCATCACTATCTGATTCAGACTCACTGAAGCTCAACAAAGATTTCTCTTTACCTTTCTGTGAACTTGGACATTCTGATTTTACATGACCAAATCCATTACACTCATAGCACTTCAGCTCCTTGCGTCTTGCCATAGGACATTCAGGTCGAGTATGTCCTATACCTCCACACTCGTGACATTTCAGATCACGTTTCCTTCCTGATGATTCGCTCCTTATAGGCCTGCTGCCTGACTTTTCAGCATCACTTCTGTTCCAGCGACTGATCTCTCTTGTGTCCCTGCTGTCTCTGTCCTTACCCTCTTCAATCTGTTTCAAAGCTTTTCTAAAATTTCTGGCCATGAAAGACAGATTGTCTCTGATTTCTTGCAGCGGATCTGGACCCTTTTCTTCATCAGCTTTGACCGCTATTCCTTTGTTCTGATTTCGTTGATCTTCAGCAACTTCCATCTCTTCAGACTTTAGAATCCCAACCAGATCTTCATATTTCAGGGTATCTGTGTTTCCTGAAACTCTCATGACAGCTTTGTGTGCAGCGTATTTCGGTGGTAGGCAACGAAGCATCTTCTTCACCAGCTTTTTCTCCTTGTACGTTTTCCCTAATGATTTTGCTTCGTTTGCAATCCCACTCAGCTTAGAACTGAACTGAACAATTGTTTCTGAAGGATCCATCTTCAGATTTTCAAAGTCTGTAGCCAACTGGTCCAGCCTGGTGCGTTTTACACCAGTGTTGCCCTCATGGGTTTTCTGCAGAATATCCCACATCTGTTTAGCATTCTCACTTCCTTGAACCAGATTGAATTCATCATCATCAAGGCATGAATAGATAGCATTCATAGTCCTTGCATTGAACTTGGATAAATTCTTTTCTGCATCAGTCCAGTTAGCTTTTGGTTTCTTCACTTTCAGACTGTCTTCTGTTGTGCTGAACGGAGGTTCCCAGCCATCTTCAACTGCAGTCCAGGCGTCCTCTCCATGTCCTCTGATTAACTGCATCATCCGAGTTTTCCAGTGACCGTAGCCTCTGTGATCCAGCATCACCGGATCCTCTAAGATCCAATAACTCGAGATTAGTAGCATTTCCAATATAGGAAGGGAGTTCCACCAAACTTGAACAAAAACTAAAATCCAGTTCCTTGAGATCAGTGGCATTCCCAATGGAAGAGGAAAGCTTGACCAGATTTGAGCATCCACTTATCTTAAATTTCTTGAGATGAGAGAAAGTCCCAATAGAGAAAGGGAGTTTCACCAAGCTGGAGCAATTATAGAGATACAATTCCTTGAGATTAGTGGCATTCCCTGATATTATATAGATGTTGAGGCAATTGAAAAGAACTTCTTTTCCTTTATTAAGAATCACTTAAACAATCTATAAGATATGTTTAATCAGATTTACACGACGTTGACACAACTCGTCACTGACCAATTCTTAATCTACCCAAACTCACAACACAGCAACAGCTATGCATACACTCCGTTCACTCACCAAGAACCCTAACAGCTTCTAGCCTAGTACTTGAGATTCACAGAGATATTCTAAACGCCCACCTAAACCTAAATTCTAGACTGCGAATATATAGGTTAACGACACAAGTGTCATTAACAACTTTCCTAATCTTGAGATCACACCAAATCTTCTTTTCTTGATTTGATCGTATCTTCAATACACCGAATAACTTGAGATTCATGTTCTGGAAACTTCCAATCACCAATCACTGCTTACCACGTCATCTTCATTTAATGTCTCGCAGTTTCCCGCATACAGCTCTCTCCTGTGCTCCATAGGATCTTCCTGTAGCCCGACATCCATATGTCTTCATTCCCGATGGAGGAGGGAAGCTCTACAAGCCTTGAAGAATACCAAGTTCCAATTCCTCGAGTTTGGTGGCTTTGCCAACAGAGGAGGGGAGCTCCACCAGACTTGAACATCGACGAAAGTTAAATTTCTTGATATTGATTAAATTTCCAATAGAAGAAGGTAACTCAACCAGATTTGAGCAATCATAGAGATTCAAGATCTCGAGATTAATAGCATTCCCAATAGAGAAAGGGAGCTTCACTAAACTTGAGCAAAAACTACAATCTAGTTCTTTGAGATTAGTGGCTGTAGATAGATCAGGAAGCACCTTCAAGTTAACAGAAGAACTCAAATCCATCCACTTAAGATTTCGCAGCGGCTGCACAGACAAAAGAAAGAAAACTTCCATGAACATACTAACACGCTTAGTAGTACAAACAATTTGTTCATAAAACACTAAAGACATTTCCACACATCTTTTATATATTTAAGAAAATACATAAGAATTACTTACTTTAATTCCCTCCCACAACTTCTCGAGCTTGCTATGACACATGACTAGTTCGACTAGGAACTCCGGATTAACAATAGAAGGGAAACATGTCATTGGAAAATGAATCCAATGCAATAGTCGAAGTTTACGAGATAGATAGTTCAAACCTTGCGGTAAAAACATTTTGCCGGGATTTATATGATCACTATAGATTCTTAAGAATTGTAGATTAGACATTCCTTCAAAGCCTCTCTCACTTATATTTAATTCGTCCTCAGACTCACCAAAATTGAGTTCTATGCCTATAACATTTCTACTACCCTGAAAAAATAAGAGAAAAGTGGGTTAGTTGTTAGATAAACACAACTATAGTCAATAATGTAATGGAAGGCTAATGTCCAAACTTACTGTTGCATCATCTGTCAATACTTCACAAATCTCTCTACTATCAATCAAAAACTGACGTTGTCCAGGCTCATTAATAGATTGTCTACAAACAATTTCTCTACCTAGTTGAGCTAACAAGTTATGCATTTCCATATACGTCGAGTTGATAGAAATAAGAGATTTATCAGCTAATACGTGAAGTCCTTGCTTCAAATACGAGAATTTCTTTGCAAGATGTTCTTCCACTTTCTCCATTTCTTTATGGTTGAAAAAGCAAGCTATATGAAGGAACAACTCTTTATCTTTATCACTCAAGGCGTCATAACTGAAATTTATAATGCTCTCGATTTCTCCGTCAAGGCTTGTCCTTAACCTTGGTAGTGCACTTTTCCACTCCTCCTTGGACATTCCCCGAAAATACGAGCCCATAACCTTTAGTCCCAAGGGAAGTTCACCGGCAAGATTTGCAACTTCCCAAGCAAGTCCCTCGAAACCATCTTTAGGGGAATTTTGACCAAAAGCATTCATGCAAAATATTTGAACAGCCTCCTCAGTAGATGGAAAATCCACTTTGTAAATATGGTTGATCCCATGTCCCTGTAAAAGTTTCCGATCTTCCATTGTGATGATAACTCGACTCCCAGGACCAAACCAACGAGTTTCTTTCGCCAAGGCATCTAGCTGTCCTAACCTATCCACATCATCAAGAATAACAAGAAACAAGAATTCTTTCTTGTACAACCCCTAAATGAGGAATCTCAATATCATTATGGTGGAATGTTTGAGACAAGAATTCTTTTTGTAAGTTCAGTTTCGCGCTATACTCATCGTAACAAGGTCTTGGATAGCGAACTTTGATATTTTCCATAAAGACACAAAGCTGGAATTGATGAGAATGTTCGCTATATAGAATTCTAGCAATGGTACTCTTCCAATCCCAGATGGTCCCCAAATCCCTATCATCCTCACTTCATCTGACTCTAGGCATAACAACGGTTTCATTTTCTCCATATGAGCTCCCATCCCAACTAAACCGATAAAATCACGAGATGGCGTGGAATTATTCAACTTGTTAGAGATATCAGTAGCGATTTTTCCGACCATGACTGCTTCAGTATCCCTAATTAACAACAAAGGAGGGAGATATACAGAAACGTTAAATAGTCAAGAAGATTTACAAATTCAAAATAAATATATATAAAAGAAACTTCTTAGCTTGTTATTGTTAAAAATCTAAAGAACGAACCATTGGCTTGAATAGTAACCAGCTATTGTGGCCACTTTTGCCAAAGCTTCTTTACGTCTGATGGATCCACTTCATAGAAATAGTCATCACTATTTGACCAAACTCATCCATGCACTTCATGATATCCACCAATTCGTTCAAGCACCACGTCGAAGAAGCATAGTTCCTAGAGAGCACGACGATTGTGATCCTCGATCCTCTGATCGCTTCAATGAGCGCAGGACTGATCGCCTTACTCCTCTCGATATCATTGTCAATAAATGGGTCTATTCCCTTGCTTTTGAGCTCTTTCAATATGTGACTAAGAAATGCTTTACGAACATCTGCCCCGTGAAAGCTCGGGAAGACATGGTGTTTCCAATTGCGAGACGGAGAAGATCGAGAAGATGAAGGAGGTAAAGAAAAAACCGTTATATTGTTCTCTTGATGGGATCTGAACTTTCTATAAACCACTGGAAATATTGTACCAAAAAGCATGACTATTGCAGTAACAACACTACTAACGAAAAAAGAAGAATCCATTAGTATGTGAAGAAAGAATTACTAAAGACAGACTAATATGTTGAAACAGAGTTCTACTTCTATTGGAAATATCTGAGCCACAAAATCATTGACCTTATCATATGTAGGTTCCACTATTATTACAAGTTTTGTGAACCTTTCTCATCTTAAGACGCGTCCCTAAGTTGACTTTTAATGTTTGGCTCCACCATTAACATGTTTTAATGGACCACCTACAAGTTTTGATTCCATTTCCAATCGCTACTACTTCAAAGTTTTAATCTTTGGTCTGAAATAAAAGTTCTACTGCACACTTTGTAGTATAAGTGTATAACTATCTCGAGTTTCAAATCTGGTTTCTGATTACAAGGAAGAATAATTTAAACACAGCACGAGTAATGCTATTTGTGTAATGCACACACAATATTGAGTTTTTTTAGTTAGTTTACTGATCTCTTCACAACAGAGACTTTGGATATATCGCCACCAAGTTCTTCAAAGAGTACTAACAAGTTTCCTCTTGGCTTCAACCACGAACGCGGAACATGATACCTACACAAAGACTCATTTTAATACGAGAAGAGAGCTTAACTCGAAAAGTTTTAGTTAAGAACAAAGCATTATTGTTACCATCTTTGTGTCGGCTCGCCACAACCAGATTGGCATTTGTTTTGCCTGTATGTTCCAGCGTAGTTACAACTTCCGCAGTTTCCTTTGGCAAATGCCATCCAGTACCTCCCTATGCTTTGCCCGTTTATCCAAGCTTGCCCTTTCCCCATACTCTTCAGATCCAAAGCCAGGGGCTCGTTCCCTCTAGGCGCGTCAAAGTAGGCCTGTGGACGTGATAAGCACACACACATTGGGTTTACTTGAACATGTTTTAGCTCGGACTTGATTAAAGAGGCCTTCAACAAGTCAGAGTATCTTATTTACCTTGTACCATGTCAAAGGTTGTTTGTTTTGCTTAGCCAATGAGCCTTTGATCCAATCAACAGAGGAATCTTCAGTAGGAGAGACCAATTTCATTGCTTCCCCTCGCAGACCAGCCTGTTGAAGTACCCGAAAAGGCGGAAATGTTATTAGTTGCTAACTATCCATGAGAGTTTCATCTTGTAAGAATTATTTTGTCTCACCTGATATGTCCATTTCTGCCAACTCAAGTCTTTGTTACCCTCGTCAAGGCCGTGAAGCACCACAGACCCGACGATTCCTGTGGCCCACGTCTCAAAATGTGGTCCAACATTCTTCACAACACACAAAAAGGAAACAATATTTATAAGTCTGCAACAGAAAGCTTAACAAAAGTGCATTTTTCATCCTTAGAACTAACCGGCAACCCAACTGCTACGCTCAGTAGTGCGATTCTGTTAGCTCCACCTCGTAGATTGACTTGGGAGCTAAATGAAAACTTTCTGTTTTCTCTTGTCCCAAAGGCGGATCCTGTGTCGTTCAAACAAAATATGATGAAAACAGCTGTTCTCTTAAGAGTGAGTTAGCAAAAGAATGTTTCATACCGTAAAAATGTCCATTGACAAACACATGAACAGCATGCCCTGCAGAATCCACCGTAAGAGTCGGCCATTTTCCTCCACGCAAGAATGATTCTGACGCCTTAATATCCACACTGGAAATCCCGGAAATACCGATTCATTTTCCAAGAACAAAAAATCATGTTTGACAAGCAAAGAAAATGTTACTACTGGAGATTCATAATGTACCTGGTTGTGTACCAGAGGTAATCAGTTGTATCTCGTGTAACATTAACCTGCTCCAACAATCCACGGGCTGTGATTGTCCCACGGTCTCCATAAGTAGCAATATCTTCATCATATCT